ACACACACACACACACACACACACACACAAACATAAACATACACCTTCTCTCACATCACACACGTACACATTTCCATCACTAAATAATGTGGGTTTACGGATGGTTGGAGGGCGCCACTTGTAGGTCCTACTACTTTTTTTCTTCCTGTCTGTCTTACTTTTTCCCAGCACTAGATGACCATTACTGTTTCGATGTGCTTCTCTTTACCCAAACACACAAGCAAACAAATAATTAATTGGTTTTTGTTTTGTTTGTTTGTTTGTTTCTTCAGGATGATTATGATCACGAGTACCCTTCTTACGACTACTACTATGAAGACGGTTCGTCCGATTACGATTCTGGTAAAGACAAGCATTATTCTGCTGGAAGCGGAGACTACGACGCTCACAAAGGCAGCGAATACGACTACAAGAACTGGGGCCATGTTTGCTCGTCCGAGTACAACCACGAGCCTGTCGTGTGGGACAAGCACTGCCGGATGTTCTGGAGGTGTGACAAGTACAGGGGGGTCAAGGTCAGGGCATCTCCACGTTGTCATGTAACGTCGTTGTCATTCAACATTGTTGTCGTTCATCGTTGTCGTTCATCATAATAATTCATCATAATAATTCATCATAATAATTCATCATAATAATTCATTACAATAATTCATCATAATAATTCATTACAATAATTCAACATAATAATTCATTACAATAATTCATTATAATAATTCATCACAATAATTCATCATAATAATTCATCACAATAATTCATCATAATAATTCATCATAATAATTCATTACAATAATTCATTATAATAATTCATCACAATAATTCATCAAAATAATTCATCACAATAATTCATCATAATAATTCATCATAATAATTCATCACTGTAATTCATCATAATAATTCATCATAATAGTTCATCATAATAATTCATTACAATAATTCATCATAATAATTCATTACAATAATTCATCATAATAATTCATTACAATAATTCATTATAATGATTCATCACAATAATTCATCATAATAATTCATCATAATAATTCATCATAATAATTCATCATAATAATTCATCATAGTAATTCATTACAATAATTCATTATAATAATTCATCACAATAATTCATCAAAATAATTCATCACAATAATTCATCATAACAATTCATCACAATAATTCATCATAATAATTCATCACTGTAATTCATCATAATAATTCATCATAATAATTCATCACAATGATTCATCATAATAATTCATCACAATGATTCATCATAATAATTCATCATAATAATTCATCAAAATGATTCATCATAATAATTCATCATCATAATTCATCATAATAATTCATCACAATAATTCATCATAATAATTCATCATAATAATTCATCACAATAATTCATCCTTGGCATTCATCATTGTCATCCATTATTGTCGTTCATTATTGTAATTCATTATTGTAAGTCATTATTGTAGTTCATTATTGTAATTCACTATTGTAATTCATTATCTGTCATTTATCCTTGTCATTCATCATTGTTATTCATCCGTGTCTTTCATTATTGTCATATTCATTATTATCGTTCATCATTGTAATTCATTATTGTCGTTTATCATTGTCATTCATTATTGTCATTAATCATTGTAACTCATCATTGTTATTCATCATTGTCACACACTCACATACACACACACACACACACACACACACACACACACACACACACAC